CTATCTTTCTACTGGTAGAATGTAGTGAACACTCTACCCTTCTAGCTAGCCGTTGAAAAGTGTGGTGGGTTAGGTAGAACGTTATAATCCTACTTAAGTTTTATTGTTTGAAAAAATGTCTCTACCCTTCTACTTTAAGTAGATTAAAGTTAAGTGACACGACAATGTCTTTACCAACTCAGTGAGCTAAAACTTCGGTAAACTACAACGATTTTTCAAGCTTAAGAAGTCAATGTATAAATATTATATTAATAGTACTTAATATAATGACACCAGTCACGAGTTGGAGAATATTTTTGAGAAATATTAATGTTGTTCGTGTACTACTTTGATGTAAATAGAAGAGTACGGGTCACAAGTACATTCTGTGGAAAAATACTCTTCCACGAAACTTTTCATAACATATCAATTGTGGTTATTATTTAGGTTGTTAAGAAAATGTATTTGTTTGTTTGTTACTAAGCACAAAACTAGACAATGGGTTATCTTAGCTGTGCCCACTACGGATATCGAGACCCGAATTTTTATCGTTATAAGCCGTTACTTACTGCTGAGCCGGGGAAGGGGGCGGGCGATAAAAATACATTAATTGTTACGTGTAGAACAAGTTTAACGTGTTCATTGAGATGGGGATGAGCGTTGCCAAGCCGTAAGTTTTCCGGATTGTGGAACCGAAGGTCAATGGTTTGCGTCTCGTTGCAGCAAAATCGCACTCCGCACTTTGTAACCGTGGGTGTGTTATACGATGACGGTCAAATCACACTATTAGATTAGATTACCTCAAGAGTTGATTAGTTACCTTCTTTACAAAATCAACATCAGTCTTCCCTCTAGTTCATCGGTTTTAAATTAAGGACGACTAGCATAGGTAGCCTTTGTGTTAACTTTGCGCGAATTATTCGAAACACAGCAAACAATATTAGAGATTTTCTACTATACCTCATTCACGTTGATGTTACTGTAGTAGCAGTTAATGTTATTTCAAGGTATCCTTTCATATCTAAAATACGTCACTAATTTTACGAGCTAATACCCAGGTGTCTAAGTTCGTTTGTTTATGAATTTCGCGTCAAGCTACTCGAGGACTTTCTCCAGCCGTCCTTAACTTTGAAGTGATAGACTAGAAAGAAGGCAGCTAGTAAACATCAACTACCATCAACGTTTGGGCTCCTCCTATACTAACGAAAGTGGGATTGACAATAACTTTATAACGGTCCTACAGCTGAAAGGTCGAGAATGTTCGGTGACCCTCATATTGTTAATGGAGTTCCCTAACCACTAGGCCATGCCCAGCTGACAAAGTAGTATCTTGATTTAAAATAAACCATTGCATTCGCCAAAACTGTTAAAAGTATCACAATAACTGTTAATGAAATCAGGATTATGTTTTTTTTTATTTCTTTAGAATGCATAAGAAATGTTGTTCAAATCCTGTAAACCTAGTAAAAATATGGATGAAGTGTCTCTGAAAATATGTTTATCGAACTGAACGTTTCACTACAGTCAGAGAGTCAAAATGACTCGTAATACAGGTTTCTTGAATGTAGTCTAACGTCCGAAGGGGATACTCTCTTCCGAATGTTGAAAATTCCGTTCACATATATCAAAAAAATGAGGGTGGATTTTCTAATGCTCAATTTAAGCGTATTTAATTACGTTTTAAATAATTTCATTATTTTATTTTTACATCTAATGTAATTTATTTTCAATGCAATGATAGAATTGAATATATCGACAAAATAAATTATTTGATATATATATATATTACTTAATATTTGAGATAATTACATGTTCCATTAGGTGACACACTGCATTGCTGCTACAATGTGCACACGGTTGACAGACAATATTGGCATTAATAGGTCTTCAATTTCATGAAATTCATGGTCTAAAGCATATAGTAAAGAACTTTTGGAACTCAGAACTCGTATTTCTGCATGCAGTGCACGTAGTGCTTTTGTATTAAAAAATAGGACAGTGATAAATTTACCACCGAATTTTATAACCTAAAAAACCTACTTGTACCAAAGTTAATTTAGTTTGGATCTAAAATAAAGACTTGATAATAGTTAGAAAGAAATCGGTACTGGGATCTCTATTTAAAATTGGGCGTGGCTTGTAAGGGTGTTTCCTCTGTTATTGATGGGCTAGGCAAAATATATCTTCACTTATCTTCTTCGTATTAGGTCCACTATAAAATTCAGAAGAAAATCTTAGTGTACATTAAATACGCACGATACTAATCTTTACGATTCTACTTACTTCCCTATCGTACACTATCATATCAAATGTTTTCTTTGAAACCAACGCATAAAAGGCCTGGGCAATTATTATTTCCCTATTTGGTTATTCAATTTCTCAACTTTGTTAGTGATTTGGACAATCATTTGTAATTAATTCTAATTAGGAAGTCAAGGTGAACTGTTGATGGATAAACGTGTGTTACGTAAATACTATCAAAATTTGCAAGAAAAAAAAGCCAACAACAGGCAAACTATAAATTAAAAATATAAAATATTAGTACGTTTACTACATAAACAACAGATGTCGCCACTATCAAACTCTACGAACAAAACTCTATTGTTTATTACATCTAACTTAGCTTTAAAAAAAATTATCTATTAAATGGTTTCCACTGAAAGTGGGGGCACCTATTACTTAGATGTCTTTTTATATCAATACATTATATATATTATAATTAGTTTCGTTAAACTATTCTGTTCTTGAAAGGAAGAACTGGTCCTGGTTTTCTTGTATTTTTCTGCCTACTTTACTAACCTTTGCAACCGATTCTTCTCCTCCTGTTGCTTCTTCGTTGTTGCCAGCTTTCTGCTTGCTCTTTCTCAGACCCATGGCAAGAGCTAAGTGACTCTGTAACATGAACACAACTAGATACAATAATGATAATTACTGAACACTATTTTTGTTGTTCGTGAATATTACCAGTATTTCACGATTATAAAAAATTCGCTTGTGCCAAAATCTTTCTAAATATGTTAATTGAGCTTTAAAAATCCTTAAGAAGTAATTGCACTTTTAATTCTGTTCTGTTACCAAAACCAGTTTGATAGATTTTATTTATTCGCAGCCAACATGATCATGCTATAGTTTTGTAGTCTAGTTGAAAGGCAATTATTAGCACTTCAAAACGCATCATCTCATCGGATGATCAAAAATATGACTTTTGCGTTAGAATTAAAATGTTCCAAAAGATTGAGACTTCCTAGTGGATGAAAGCAACAACAATAATACAAAAAAACAGCACAAAAAACTTAAAAACATTTAAGGAAACAACGCTAGGCGAACTAAGAAATAAAGGTTTCGGGAAACAACACCAGCAGAAGAAGTAGAGAGGTTTCAGAAGACAATACTACCGAAGATTGAGAGAGATTTCAGGGGACAAACTATCCGAAGAATTACAGGGGTTCTAGGTGTTAAGATTAGTATAAAAGTTTTAAGAGAAAACAATGGTTGTAGTAGATGAAATGTTAGAAAACCCATTGGTTCAACGGCATTGCGACACAAGTTTTAGACATGCTTACCACTAGGTCACATCCGGCATGTTTAAGTACAAGCCAAAATTAACCTTCTAATATACAGTAAGTCTATTTCCAAATATTTTTTTTGTTGTTGAAAATCTGTCTCACCAGGTCACGTTACGCTGACTCATTGATACAACTTCTCTCGTGAGCGGTGGCGCATAATTTTATAAGTTAATAATACTCGAGTAAATGGTGTTTGTCGAAATTACAAAACATGGCCAGAGACAGCGGAAAGGCCAGTCAGGCCATGGCGTGACCACTTTTTCGTGGCATGTATAGTTTCAACTTGTGTATTAAAACTTGCTTCTTTTAATTCAGTACATTACGTTGTGTATATTCAGTATTTTTTGTTAAAACGGCTCAAGATTCAATTTCATAGCATTGAATTTTCAAATATTTTCTGGGTGGCATGCCTTCAGACCCCCCTATAAATGGCATGCTTTGCACACATCGCGTGTCACATTTTTTAACTGTGGCAACACAATGCAAGAGTAAATTATCAGATGTTTATTTGATGAAGAACATTAACAACCCAAGAGGAAACGCTACGATCAATATTCAAAATTAAGATAGTTATACATAACTGCATCCATCGATAGAGTAACTTCAAGTAAGTCGTGTTCTCTGCACAACACTACAGTAAAAAAAAAAGAAAGAAAATAAAACAAAAAATTGTTTATAGATGTACATAGATTCCTGTAAATTTAAGTTAGATAAACCTGCGCTTTACTCAAATTTTATATACTGAATGTAAGATAATTATATTTTCAAATTTAATTCCTCGGTTAAATTCTACAAACTTATCACCTGTAATTTGAACTGAAAGTAAAGTATCATTACTTGAAGGAAATGTTCTGAACTGCTTGAATATGTCGCAGTGGGTTATAAACTGTATAAAACCTTCCAAAGTTTTAGCAAGGCAAGCTATTTTTGATGTTTTGAAAAGGGCATGGATGTAAGCTTAGAACTGATGACTTATGGTCTATGTGTATTTAATAACTTACTTCCCATGTCCAATCAAAGTGATCAATAACAAATATGAGCTAAATTCTCCAGTCTTACTATTTAAATGCAGTAACTTATCACTATCGTATAAAGAAATTGATAATTTTTATAGTTCTAGAAGCCAATTTTTCAAACATGCTCCAACTAGAAACAATTAGTCACAGATTCTGTCAGACTATTTAAAACAAAAAAGTTAATTAAACACGCCATTTTAGTTGCCTAGCATACGAAATGCCGAATTTACATGCCCAATAACACCAAATCGTTATCTAATATAGTATATCCTGCACTAATTCACTTTAAATGAATTCGTTTTTAATATACTGGAATTTCCAGATCAATACTACAGTTTCACAAAACGGTTCTCACGAAATATATTCACATAAATGTAATACTTTGTATACTGTCACAGATTTTATTTTCTATATTTGATGTAATGCGAGTACATGCCTTTTTTCAGATAAATAAAATCATACTAAACAAACTTTTAACATAAAACCTAACCTGTTCAGCCTAACATAGTGAAATAAAGCTCGAGAAGGAAAATACAGCTAACAAAACCTTTGCTGTAAATAGAACTGGTACTTGGTCTTTGGTTGGAAGGTTAGTACTTTGGTGGTTAAGGCGCTCGACTCCCAATATGAGGATCGCGAGTTCGAATCCCATCATTGAACATTATCGCCTTTTCAGCTGTGGGACTAATGTGACGGCCTGTCCAACTTTTCTTTGTTAAAAAAAATGGCGGCGAGTGGTGTCTTCCATTTAGTCTATCGTTTCTGAATTAGGGACGGCTAGCGCAAATAGCTCTCGAGTAGTTTAGCGCGAAATTTCACAAATAAACAAAACAAACCGTTATATTCTGTGTTAGTGAAGCATAATAAATTAAAATATAAAAGCAGCATCCATGCTGTGTTTTCCATATATTCACGTCTCTTGGACAATACCGAGGTTTTAAGTTACACAACTAACAAATCTTCAAGTTTCACTTAAACATCAGTTTTTGTTATTGTTGTTTTTGATAAATAAATGCTCATAGAATTTATGCTTTTAAAATACTCTAGTTTTAAAGTAATATTTCACCTTATTGAAAACACAACCAGATCTCTGTTAATGAACTCACAGCACGAAAAACATGTTTTTACAAACTAGAGCCCCACAAACATACCAGTAAAAGCTGGTAAAACAGATGCGCTAATTTTGAATATTACATGAAATTAAGTATCTCTTACTAACATATTCAAAAGTCTATTATAGTCAGTGTATGAATGATTTTCAATAATTTATGGTTTTATCTGTAAAAAAACCCTTACCACCAACCAAATTACATTTGTCCGCCGATTATGTTATGGGCTTATAACAATTCATATTACGTGATACTAAAAACACGAGTTTTAGAGGTAGTTCAGGAAGTTGGACAGTCTCAAAAACACTGTTTCGAAAGCAAGGATAACACAAACATAAAGAAAGACATATTATTAAAAAATATTATATCTTAACCTTAAATTAACGATGGGATATGGATACAACTATTTAAGCACCCAATTACTTGTGGGTCTATAACTTTGTTGGTCCTGATAACGTACGAGCCATACAAAACATACTAATTATTGATGGAGGTACACAATATATATTTTAGTTACAGAATGAGTAATTTCACCCAATTCTTTGGTCAGTTCTTTATAATGAGTGCTGTAACAGGCAAAAATGTAAGATTACTCAATATGATGCAATATATATTAACTCCACCAGCAATTAACGGAATGAAAAACAAATTAGTAATTTGAGGGTTAAAAACTACTTTTCATAGTGAGTAATATTTGAACAAAGGCACTTCGAGAATCATTAAATGTATTCAGGAAATTGTGGACATGGTACAGGATGTATCACGGTCGTAAACAGGATTTCGGTCAGTTGGGGGGGGGGGGATATGTCTAAATATCCCCTCCTCCAAAGGGTATTTTTCCTTTTCTGGGAGAATGATCTCTTTTTTTTTTCTTTTTTTTTAACAATTTCGGTGAGGAAGACCTATTACAGAAATACTTGAAAAATATGTATGTGCAATATCAAATAAATAAATATGTATATAAGTACTGTATGGTTTAGAAATAATTTGTCTTTGCTCTCTCTCTCCATCTGTCTCTTTCTCTTTTCTTTTGTCAGGACGGAAGAAATTTCGAGATATATCCACACACACACACACCATCGTCTACAGCCCTGGGTTTAATAAAATGTAGCTACCACTCTCGATATATATAT